TACACGTGTACTACACACACCCACACATGCATACTCTCCTATACACATACACACATGAACGTATGTGCACACACGTATACACGCAGACACAACACACGTGTGCACAGCCAATCGTGCATGTCCATACAGCAAACATATTTGTACTCATATGTATGTGTATGCCGACAAACATGTATGCAGATGCATTTACACAAGTGCACACACTCACATGTTCGTGTATGCACACACAAGAGTATACACTTACATTCGCACACATGCAGATACGCATGCTAACATATGCACAGACAGATGTGGGATGGCGCAGGGAACGCCACCGTCTGGGAGGTGTCACAATGAGACGCCCACATGGTGCCGCTGCTGTGGCTCCAAGGCCACCACCTTTGGAAGTCCACCCGTGGCAAATGTGGCTGCCCTGCTGCACGCCAGAGAAAGCACAACTGGAGTCCAGGCAAAAAGACACAGTGCCGCCGACTGGTCCAGTGAGGTCCCTGAAACAGTGCACTGCAGGCTCAGGCGTGGGTCACGAAGGAATGACCCCAGAGCCAGGAGGGCGGCTGCCACGGTGTCCGGGCCCTCGTAAGGACTTCGGAGGTTACTCAGGCCACGCATGTTCTGGTTAAGACAAAACAACGTATGCATGCATGATGAGCGTACACAAGCACATATCCACACACACACTGAACACTCGTACACACGCAGATACAATCACACACGCACAGACAGGTGTGCACACAGTAAACACATTTACACATGCACAAGCACATATTAAACCCAAGCATTTATACCCACACGCCAACACATACACACTTACATGCATGCATAAACACAGGTACGTATACGATAAACACATCCACACAAATACACACACACACACACATGCAAACATGCACATGCACGTGCACACGGGAATAAACACATATACATTCTAGGCATTTGCACCCATGCACAAACACATGCATATGTTAAGTCATATACACATGAGCACACATATACATAAACACACGTTATACTTGTGCACAATACATGCACACACTTATACACATGTACAAACATGCACATTAATACAATAACCACACATGTGCACACGTGTAGACAGCTTTTACACCCAGGCACACTACTTACACATGTGCACAAACATGAATACATGTACTGTGCAAGCACAACTTTGTAAACAGAGGCGTGCACTTACACACATGTGCAAACACACCCACACATGCCTAAGTACGCACTCACACACATGCACCTGGCACGTGTGTGTCGCACACTGGCACGCCCACTCCCTCTGCATGGACTAGCCCCGACAGGTGGCTCCTGCGTCCCAGCTCCTGGGCTAGCATAAAAAGGGGAAGAGCCTGCGGTCCCCGCACCAAGGCAGACGCTGGTGGCCTGCGACAGCATACGTGTGCGCCTGCTCAGATGCCTGGGTCCTCCCCAGACCAACTAAGAGCTGAGGTAGTGGAGCCTTGACTGCAAGGCGTCCGTGAACCAGGGAGATTAAATCCAAAACCAAGACTAAGACCAGCAGTTAGCGTAATGGCTATGTCGCTGGACTCCCATGTAGTCGACTGCAGTTCGAGCCCCAGACCCGGTGGCTTAAACTCACACCGGGCACGTGTGTGTGCGTGCCCAAGATCCCGAGAGGAGAATGGAGAAGGGATTGTGGCATGGCCATCCCCCCTGGGGAGTGATTTCTCGCTTTCTGTCTCTGTCTCTCTGGCGAGTGCATGCGCTCTATAGCAAAAACCTCTCAAAAAAAAAAAAAAATCCAAAACCAAGACAGAGAGTGGGTGAGGAGGGAGAGTGGGGACGACATTTGACAACAGCTTGTTTCTTCTTTTAAGAGAGATTTTTGCTATAGGGCGCATGCATTCGTCAGAGAGACAGAAAGCAAGAAACCACCTTCCCGCCTGGGGCGATGGCCATGCCACAATCCCCTCTCCTGCATTTCCCTATTGGGAACTTGGGCACCCACACACGCCCGGTGTCGGTTTTAAGTCGCCAGATCCGGGACTCAAACCCCAATCGACCATGTGGGAGGCCAGTGATGCGGCCACCACATCATTCGCTGGTCCCGTGATGAAGACAGGAAAGCCCTGGCCAGAGGTGCCCGTCAAGCCACCTTCTCAAAACCCAACGGTGCTCTCGGGGCAGGCGAGGCCTGCGGCTGGCCACTGGGCAGGGCAGGGAGGAATCTCTGTCTCTCATACACAGAGATGACCTTGGACTTCCCGTGCACTGCCCCAGGTGGCTTCCTCATGCCTACGCGTCCCTAGAACACGGGGCCTGCCGGTGGCTGGGTGACTAACCAGTACAGATGTCCCCAAGGGCACTAGGAGACCCTGTGGCCAGAACATCCCACTTACCCGAGGAGCAGGAAACGTATTCTCAAGGGGACCTGAGCCTAGAGGCGCGTCTGGTCACCCTTCGACATGCGCACACATCACCAGACTGAACCATCCTAGAGAAAGCTCGGGGAGTATTAGAAGACTCAGAATTTGCTCCATTCTTGTTTCTGCTATAGGAAGAGAGCTTGCTGGGGAGAGGGAGAGCTTTCCCCGGGGAGATGGCCATGAGAACCCTCCCCAGGTTTGGGCGTGCACACGTGCTCTGCGTGCTTTTCAGGTTGCTGTGTCCAAGAACCACCGTTGGCCATGTGGGATCCAGCTGCCTTAACCACCATGCCACCTGGTTGGCCCTGACATACTCTAACTCAGCAAGTGCTTCAAGATAGTTACCTTAAAGAAACAATGACGGGGCTAGCCACTAGCTTAATGGTTATGTCACTGGATTCCCACATAGGTTGACTGCAGTTCAAGTCCCGGACCCAGCAGCTTAAAACTCACACCAGGCAAGTGTGTGCATGCGTCCAAGGTCCTGAGAGAAGGAAAGAGGAAGATCGTAGCGTGGCCATCTCCCGGCCCGCGATTTCTTGCTTTTTGTCTCTGTTTTCTCCAGAGAGCGCAAGCGCCCTATAGCAAAAAATCTCCCTTAAAAAAAAAAAAAGGAACAATGACAAAGGTTCATGCAAAGGTTCGATCATAGAAATGCTAACCCAGACATGAGGAGCTTGGAGAAGACCTAAATTCCCAGCCATGGGTGGAGTAGCGGTGACCGTACATCCTGGTGGTAAGGCAGCTACTCCAAATGCCTGACCGCAGTTCGAGTCCCGGCCCCAGCAGCCGGAGGAACGTGCTGGACACATGTGCACGTGCCCAAACCCCACCCATGGAGATGGATGAGGTGGGGTCAAGGCAGTAGGGGGTGCTCTCTCTCCCTCTCCCTTTGTCAAGTGTGTGCCCTCTGACAAAATAAAGAAAAAAAATGGGGCAGCCCATGGGGTGATGGTTAAGGTCAGGCCCTGCGCCCTGACCTCCCCGAAGAATAGGTTCGCTTTGGCTCGCTCCACTGACTGCCGTGTGAAGGAGAACACGTTAGTTAAGCTAGTTAACAGGAGATCGGGACGAGCCCCCGTCACGGAGGACACCACACGGAGTCGTCACAGGTAAGCCAGGAGGGGACAGACAACAGGGTTCACAAGGAGAAGGTAAAAACTGGGTCCTCACATGCTTAAAAAGTGCAGCTCGACTACCCACCCGCCCTCACAGGGACGTCCCCGAATGAGTGAAATCTTCAGTGTGGAGGCCGAGCACTTAGGACTCCAACGCCCTACTGGGCCGGCCGCTGGTGTGGGGTGAAGGCGCTGGATTCCACATAGCTGCTTCCGTGGCTTGAGTCCTGAGCCCGCCGGCTTGAAAATCACACTGGGTGCGTGAGAACATGTGCCAAGAAATGGAGACAGTGGGGCAGGGACTGTGGTGTGGCCATCCCCGGGGACAGCTTCTCCCTCTAGCACGAGCGCTTGTGTCCTGCAGCAAAACTGAAGAGCCATGATGGCTTACAGCCACGGACACGCATGCAGGCTGCTGAGCTCCTCCTGTAGCAGGACAAGCCTGACACTGGACAGGGCATGCACTTACACACATGTGCAAACACACCCACACATGCATAAGTACGCAGAACTGGCCGACCCGAGTTCCAGAAAACAATGGTATCAGACACGCCAGGAAGGACCCGCCCTTGACCGACTGCTCGGCCTGCCTCAGGCCTAGGGCCTGGCCGTGAAGTGGCCAACGTGACGAAAACGAACAGGAAACTGCTCTGACCACCTGGGGTTGAGACCCTCGCCGTCTGAGCCCCACGGCCCCTGGCTCTGGCTCTAGGAAGCGCCTGCCTGTCAGGACCACCACGGGATGCTGGGAAGGTGTGAGCCGGGAATGAACCGGCTGGGTCTGGACGGTGCTTGCCGACGGCGTACCGGTGGGAGCCTCCCGGGCAGGCGTGTGGGTGCGGCCGGCACCGAGAGCTGGGAGGACAGTGACGGCCGAGGGCTGGCCCAGACACGGTGTAGCCTAGACGCTCAAGGCAGCCGGACAGGGCTGGGCTGAGGCCAGCTCGGGCCGCGACGGGACGGGAAGCAAAGAGTTAAAGGAAGACGTGACAGGCCTGGGGCCAGCAGGTGGCATGATGGCGAAGGCGCTGGACACTCCCACATGGCCAGCCGTGGTTTGAAACCCGGACCTGGTGGCTTGCTTTCTTTCTTTGTCTCTCTCTGGTCAAATTAAAATATAAATAAATGAATAAATAAAGTTAGAAAGAAAGAATTCTTTAGGCCCCACTGCAGGGGTGGCC